ATTAAAAGGGGATGGGGTGTTGCTTAATGGCTTGCTTGCTCAAAGTGCTTAGTGATATGCTCCAAAGCCCTCAACCACTTTCTCATTTCCACATATGTCCTAAACCTAAAGTCAAACTCGGCCCCACCGATTTGATCTATCCGGCGCCACTGAGTTCACTTGAGATAGCCACTGCCAGAAACCCTAATCAGTTCGGTCTCACCGAGATGGGCTTGCAAACTCTTTGTTGCTTGTTGCAACTATTTCGGTCTCACCGAAATATGCAGTCGGTCCCACCGAGTTTGCTTGACCAACTCTATGTTTGCTTATTACCAAAATCGGTCCCATCGAGTTTGTGTAGTCGGTCAAACCAAGTTTAGGTTTTACCCTAACCCTAGAACATCGGTCCCACCGAGTTGATCATATCGGTCCCACTAAAAAGCCTAACATTCACATTTTGAACCATATTAGTCTGACCAAGTTTCACTATTTGGTCCCACCGAGTTTGGCTCTTTTGTGTGTAACAGCTAGATTTTGTGTGGAGGCTATAAATACCCCTCCACCCCCTTCTCCATTTAAGAGAGAGCCATCAGAACGTGCCTACACTTCCACTACTCATTTTCTGAGAGAGAACCACCTACTCATGTGTTGAGACCAAGCATTCCAATCCAACCAATCTTGATCTCTAGCCTTCCCCAAGTTGCTTTCCACTCAAATCATCTTTCCACCATATCCAAATCTGTGTGAGAGAGTTGAGTGTTGTGGAGACTATCATTTGAAGCATAAGAGCAAGGATTTCATCATCAAAACACCATTTATTACCTTTCATAGAGTGGTGTGTCCTACATTGGTTAGGTGTCACTTGGGAGCCCCCATCAAGATTGTGAAGTTGAACCAAGGAGTTTGTAAGGGCAAGGAGATTGCCTACTTCGTGAAGATCTACCCAAGTGAGGCAAGTCCTTCGTGGGCGATGGCCATGGTGGGATAGACAAGGTTGCTTCTTCATGGACCCTTCGTGGGTGGAGCCCTCCGTGGACTCGCGCAACCATTACCCTTCATGGGTTGAAGTCTCCATCAACGTGGATGTATGATAGCACCACCTATCGGAACCACGCCAAAAATCTCCGTGTCTCCAATTGCGTTTGCACACTCCAATCCCATCCCTTTACTTTCTTGCAACTTGCATGCTTTACTTTCCACTGCTCATATACTCTTGCCATGCTTGCTTGAAATGTATTGTGAATGTTTAAACTTGTGCTAAAACTCCACCTTAACTTAAAGAACTTAAAAACTGCTACTTTTCTTTGTTGAGGGTCTAATCACCCCCCTCTAGACACCTCTTCTTGATCCTTTCACGGTGCTCAATCTCAGTGATAGAAAGAGACATGACACACATGTATCATTGCTATTAAGGGTAAAAAGATTGGGTTTATTCCTACATGAATAAATCTTGTCTATATCATGTCATCGTTCTTATTACATTACTCCATTTTTTCATGAACTTAATACACTAGATGCATGCTGGATAGCGGTCAATGTGTGGAGTAATAGTAGTAGATCCAGGCAGGAGTCGATCTACTAATCTTGGACGTGATGCCTATATACATGATCATTTCCTTGGAGATCGTCATAATTATTTGCTTTTCTGTCAATTGCCCAACAGTAATTTGTTTACCCAGCATATGCTATTTTCTTGAGAGAAGTCTCTAGTGAAATCTACGGCCCGGGGTCTATTTCCTATCATATTAAATCTAAGAATACCTTGTTGCACTTTTATTTATTTATTTTATGTTGTGTTTTAGTTATATCTATTTATCAAATCTCACATGATTTAATCTATGTTAATACCGTTGAGGGATTGACAACCCCTTCATGCGTTGGTTTACAAGTATTTGTTGTTTGTGTGCAGGTGTTGTTTACATAGTGTTGCTTGCTCCTACTGAATTGATAACCTTGGTTTCATAACTGAGGGAAATACTTACCTTTCCTGTGTTGCATCATCCCCTCCTCTTCGGGGAATTACCAACACAGATACAAGCAATCATCTGCTATGGCCCGATGGGGCGACGTAGCGGCAGCGCGAGGGTAGGTGCAGCCACGAGGAGAACCACGGGTCAACGACGCTACGACCCCATGGGGCGATGCAGGGACAGCCCGATGCTCGATCGATGGAAGGGCGCGCTGTACTCGAGACAATCTTCATAGGACCTGCGGAGGCCCGAACAACAGACATGCCCGATCGGTCGCACGACGTGGGCGGGGCGGACCGCGGCGTGGGTGGGTGATCAATCCAATCGCGCATGAGATCATGGACGCCGCTCGGTGGAGGCGGGGTTGTGGCAAAGTCCGAGCTGAAACCGGTGACGACGGACGGCGTGTGATGACGGGTGGACTAGCGTGTCAGCGTCAGCACCCGGGCGCCCGAGCGGCCAGCCCCGAGGGGCGAACGCAACGCCGTGTGGAGGCGCCCGTACATATGCGGCGGAGGCGGAGGCGGGATGGTGATGCAGGAGTCCCTGTGGAAGTAGGGCGGCGACGACCGGTGCAGGGTGACGGGCGCGTAGAGGCGCAGATGACGACCGTGACGGCCGCCTGCCGCGCAAGGGCATCGGGTCGGAGAAGTGGTCGGCCGGTCGTGCTGGTGTCGGAGTAGAGGCGTGCGGTTAACGACGGCGGCGAGCAACGCAACCCGATTTTAGATTGAAAAACCAAAAAGTTAGACGCTGATCAAAGCGTCCGACGAGAGAGGAAAACCCGGAGCAAGGGCTCGGGAAAAAGACTCTCTAGGGCAGCCGGTTGACATGACCGACAAACAAACCCTAGGTACGGGCAGCGCGACCCTCCGGAGGCGGCGCGTGAGGCGGAAGTGGCGGGCGGCGGCTAGGGTTGGATCGATTAGGCTGATACCATGTTATAAGGGATATGAAGGAATTTGTGGAATCAATGGATGTATTATTACCGAAAAAGAGTATCTCCGCTTTGTATACAAAGCAACCAACCGAGACAACCAACAACAGGTGCTGGGGCGGAAGCAGCACAATCACGCCCAACAGAAATGAAAGAGAAAATACAAGAGAAACAAATGCCGACAACGGCGGATCGACAAAAAACAAAGAAGCCTCGTGGCCGCTGCATTCACCGGAAATCGCCCTCCAAGCTTCGAGCCTCCGAAGCACCGGTACCAATCAACACCTCCAAGAAAGGACGTAACGATGACGACGCTGCTGCCAAGGGTTTCCCCCGGTACGCGGTGAGGAGAGAGGTAGGGTAGCCCCGACGCCCTCCAGGAAGGTCCGGTGGCACCTTGGCCAAGCCAACAGGGATTTCTCCCGATCCCAACCTTCACCTCAGGCACTCCGGAGCTCGCCATCAAACTGACCACCACCCTGTGCCAATCTGATCATGAAGCTTCCCACACTGTCTCACCACGACACTGCGAAGTATGGCCTGCACAATGAAGAATAGGAGCCGGGACTAGGGCAGCAACACCGTCGACACGCGGGAGGGCCCCACCTCCACCGTCGATGATGGTAGCTGACCGGACGCAATAGCAGGAACATATTAGGCCCGTGGCCGCACAGGCCCGGCCGGGATCTCCGAGACCCGTAAAGTTCCCGCCTTCGCGCTGCAGGCGGCACGCCGTCGGCACGCCGCCCCTGTCCAAGCCGCTCCCCTGCCTCCCTGCATAGAAAGCCGCCAAGTGGAAGCACCACCACCACGCCCACCGCCGGCCACCACCACCAGGTCACCGGACCGCCACAGGCCGAGCCGCACCACCACCGCATGCCCGCGACGGAGAGAAACCAACGCAGCCGCCGGGAGCCCGAAGCCGGACCCCAGCCGCCTGCCGCCGGCGCCGGTCGGGCTTCGCCCGGCCACGCCCCTGGTGGCGGCGAGGGAGGAGGGAGGAGGAGGGAAGACTCGCGACGGGAGGATCTGGGAACCCTCTACGGCCGCCTCGTGGGTGACCGCGCGGGAGGATAGGATTGATTTGAAGGACAAGACACCTCTACTAGATATAAGATACGGAATAGAAGACAGATTACAAATGGTAGATTACCAAATACATGTAAATATCTCTCTCTAACAATAACAACACCACTTCCTTTACCAAAAGGGAGAAAAAAGAGAGAAAGAAATGGAATGTTGTTGACAGAAAGTCGTCTTCCCCATCGCCGGCACGCCGAAACGCCCTTCGCTGTCGCCGCCAAGCTCGCTTCGCCCCCTCCTTCCGCCGAACCACGCCTGGAGATCTCCCTCGTGGGCATTCTTTCTCGTCCTCTCTATTGGTAGCGAGTGAAGACCTACCCGGACGCGATTCTTCTTCTTGGTAAGGAAGCCCTATCTTGCTCGGATTGTTCTTCGGCCTTCACTAGCCTTCTCTTCGATTTGACTATTCTATTGCTGCCAGATCTTTCTCCCTGACCCCATTCAGTTGACAGAAGAGCACCCTTCGGCGATTATTAATGAATTTGTTCAGATAGTGACTTGTTTCTTTTGCCTGCTCCTTCTCTGAAACCTGAATCCCACGCATATGTAACTTAGGTCTGATGCACATATGTAACTCTGATGCTCTACTTCAAATTCTTCTTTAGCTCTACTATTTGTTAGTTTGATGCCGTTCAACTGATTAGATCTTTACATCATGTTGCTGGTCGTTTAGGCAGTTTCACTCAAGTATCGAGCTGTGCTCTGACGTAAGAGACTGCAATCTTTTCGAATTTACTGTTGAACTGTGCCGAAGAAACCCAACTCACTGCTTGCACATTAATAGTTATACCAAATCTAGGACGGTCTCAGTTCGCAATATAGGTGATTTTGATTAAAGTGCAATCTGTGTGTTTACGGGCAGATTTGTATCGTTAAGAAGTTCTCAAATGTGTAATCAGTATTGACCGCTCAATAGTTCTTCTGAATTACTTTCTTGCGTTGGATTTCAGGCTGAAGAAGTAGTGCCAAATTCTACATTCGTATTTGGTATTATATAAGACGGATTAGTAGTGGAATGATCCTTTGGGAGAATGGAAGGCAATAACCTGCCACCTGGAAACTTTATGCAAGGAGCAACTTATGGCAGTTCAGACTTGCACCGGAATCCCATGCAAATGCACGGTCCAAGCTCCGGTAATCAGGGCTTCAACCACTCTCAGATACCTGGCAAATTCCCCATGCCTATGAACCAGGTTACAGATTCTGACCACTTGTCGGAATTTCAATTCAGAGGACAAAGGAAGGCTGATCACCACCAGGTCCACCACCACCACTATCACAAGAAGGACTCCATGAGCGATGATGAGGAGCATGGTCTGAACGAGGATACCACTGATAGCCACAGCAGCAAGGGAAAGAAGGGCTCAGCATGGCAGCGGATGAAGTGGACGGATTCAATGGTTAAGCTTTTAATTACTGCAGCGTCCTACACTGGTGAGGATCCAGGAGCTGATTTAGGATGTGGAAGGAGGAACTGTGCAATGGTGCATAAAAAAGGCAAGTGGAAGGCAATATCAAAGGTGATAGGCGAGCGAGGTTGCAATGTGTCACCGCAGCAGTGCGAGGATAAGTTCAATGACCTCAATAAGAGATACAAAAGGCTTACAGATATCCTTGGTCGGGGTACAACTTGCAAGGTTGTGGAGAATCCAGCACTTTTGGATCGCATGGATAATCTCTCTGACAAGTTGAAAGATGACGCAAGGAAGATACTGAGCTCAAGGCACTTATTCTATGAGGAGATGTGCTCCTACCATAATAATAACCGGATTAGTTTGCCTGAAGATCTTCCACTTCAGCGTTCACTGCAGTTTGCTCTTAGGTGCAAAGAGGAAAATGATATGATGAGAGGAGCAAGTGGAGATGCCGATGAAGATGACCAGAGTTCAGACTCTGATTATGAGGAAGATAATGATGAGGACCATCATGTGGCGCATAGCAATAAAGGGGGCTTACCCATGCAAAAGAAGATGCGGTATACAGCGGATCACGAGGATGCAGGTTTTGGGAACTCTTTGAGTGCACACGAATGTAGCCAGAGGTCTAATCCCCATGGCATCGCACTAGATATCAACAAAGTTGTTCCAGATGGAACCAGCTTGGCTTTGACACAGAAGGGCTTAGTATTGCAATCTGCAGAACTTGAAAAACAGTGCTTGAAAATCGAAAATGAGGCACTGGAGCTTGCAGAACAACGCCTCAAGTGGGAACTATCCAGTAAAATTAAGGACAAGGAACTGGAAAGGATGAGGTCAGATAACGAACATATGAAGATTGAGATTAAACGCTTAGAACTGGAGGTAAGGCGCAAAGAGTTAGAGCTTGAACTCAAGCTGAAAGGAAATGTCAATCATTCATGACATATATTTAGGCGGTCAAGATTGGCCTGTAAGATGGTAAGCTAAGAATACTATTCTTGCTTAAGGAGCCTTCTAGTTCACTGGTGCAACCTTTTCCGTTCAGCAAGTCTGGTATTTATATGCTTCTAAGTGGTGTTTGCTCTGGATGATCACTTTATTTCATTTGTTTTTGTATTTTAACCTATAATTTTTTGAAAGTTTGGTAACAGCTTGCAATTTTCGTTCTTGCTTAGGGAGCCTTCTAGTTCTAACTAATGTGCATTAGGAATGTAAATTGGTTGCATCATTAGTATTTAGCAAGGTTCTTTTAAGTGCTAGGTGCTCAGCGAGCGGTGTGCCTCTGCTTAGTGCAATGATAGCTTAAGCGGTGCTTGAGCATTTTGTACGGACATCGACATGAACAAGGGACACCCAGAAATCAAATTTTAAAGCATGTAAGGCCACCTTGCTCTCTGCGCTCTCTCTCTCTCTCTCTCTCTCTCTCTCTCTCTCTCTCCCTCTCCCTCTCCCTCTCCCTCTCCTCTCCCTCTCTCTCTCGCCTAGCCGAACATCCCTTTCCCTCTCTTTTGCCCCCAAATTGGTGCCGCTCCTACCTGCATGTCCTCGCCTAGCCGCCGCTTAGTTTCCACTTAGCTGGCGCCGCACCCCTGAGTGTACACCAAGCGCTTAGGCGCTATGCCTAGGCGTCTGGGCGCTTTTTTCAGTGCTAATCCAAAAGCGAAGTGGTAGGCCTCTGCTCAGCGCTTAAGCGCGCCTAGGCGTACGCTCAATTTTTTACTGTTTTTAGCAACTGTACTAATGCTTGCTGCCATATGCACAGTATTATATTCGTTTGTCATTTTTTTCTCTTTCTTTCTTTCTTGTTTATGAGCGATTTGTTCAGCCTTAATGCCTGGCATTCTTGGCAATAAAATTATAGTTGCATCCAAAGATGCAGCAGCCAGGAGGCTTGCCTTTCCTTGAAAAAAACATGGCATATTCGTGTGCTCTGTGCATTGGATCACTAATTTGGAAAACTATGGTGGTTGTAATTCATGAATTTTATGGACCATATTTGTTACCGATCAATTGGTTCTTGTTTGTACATTTTGATAAAATTGAAAATAATACATCCATGGTTTTGAAAATATTAGTTATTTGGCAAAATAAATGAAAATTATGGTGCCATAAATAGTATTTGTGCCTGAATCGTGGTAATATCTGTGCGTGCAGTTGACAGTTGATAGCTGGTGACAGATATCTTTATCAACTGGTTAGTTTTAAGAGTACGAATGAGAGCTGCATGCCATTCGAATTAGGATAGAGAAGACAATTACAACACTAACTATGGACTGAATCATACCGCCCAACTAACAGCTCATTAAATACTATCAAGAAGATATTACGTCGTTTACAAGATTGATCAACATCAAGCTGACAAACAAACTATACCTTGTAGTAGCTTTTAGGTGCAATCTTTTGTTGTGTTTTAATGTGGCCTGCAGGCACTTCTGGCATCTCTTCCCCTTTAATGTGGTTCTGTGGTAGGAAATGACCCAAATTTGTTTGAAGTCGCTGGCTATAGCTGGGGTATCGTCCATAATTTATATGCAGTTCATAATCTTCCTTCTGTATATAGTTGAGTAGTTGTTAAACACATATTTATGTTTCAGCATAAGTGTAACGCTGGAGCTTTCTACCTTCCGACACAATTCCTAAGGACTAGAGATTCACTATGTTTTGTTCTAGACCTCGGTTTTGTTGTACTAGGTTGCAAATAAAATGTTTACATTGCATTTAGGGCCACTGAGTGCCCACAAGTCGGACCTGTTGAGCACTACATTAACCTTAGATTCAGTTTACCACACATGGAAGGTCTCCTGGATTTTTCACATTCAGTTCTGTGTGTGCGTGCCTAAGAAAGGTAGATACTTGTTTTGGCTGTGGTGTTATCAACACATTACTGCCACAATTAAGGGTCAAGGAAAACAAGTACACTGTATTTATTAGGCTATAAGGATGCTCTCGATGCTGTGGTTGCTTCCTGTGCTTACCTTACTTGTTAACTGACATGAAATTATCTTGTGGTCTGATATCATCTCCATTAAGTTAATAAGACTGGTAATGTTTCTGCAGCTCTTAATTTTGAACAACGCTATTGGTTCTTTCAGGTAGCCGATGGCTTCTGATGTTAGCGTAGAATACTGCCAGCAGGTCGCCCGTGCACTTCGCAAGATCTCGTTTTGCAAGAATTGGGTATTTGATGAGGCTTATGATCACCCCTTCAGTTTTTCTGTTTTTATTGCAATACATTCTTTGCTATAGCGGGCTTGTAGCAGTGACTCTGAGTGGTAATTGAGTGGATGGCTTGCGTTTGCTTACAATAGATATCAAATGTAAAGCCCCAAGAGCTCGTTATATGCTGCCAATTGCTGTCGTAAGTTTTATCTGGATTTTGGTAAAACAGGTTCGGATTGTTCATCAAGAATCCAAGTTGTAGTCAAATTAATAATTCGATTCAATTTCAGAGATTGAACTGGAATATCATGCGATCCGATTCAATTTGATTTGCAGCATGTCAGCGTTGAAAACACGGTTATATATGTAACAATGGTATAGTTATTCGGTTGCACCACAAGAGAAACATAAAGATCTTCAAAGCATGATTTTCTGCTCCCTATAACTGCCATGGAAAGAAAGAAAAATTTGATGTGGTAGGACATAATTTAAGTTTCCTTTGGAAAATGCAAAATGATTTCTAGAAAAAAAACATTCATAAAATAAAAAGATCGTGCGTCAAACGAGCAAGTGTGTTGCAAATAGTAAGGCAGCACATATCATGAATATTCTGCTACACATATCATGAATATTCTGCTACAATATCATGAGTATGCAAACAAAAATGTGAAAAAGGCAACTCTCTATTTATGTCTCCTTTGGTTCCTGTGGCGACCAGACTGTCGGATTTCGGGTTCCGGCAGACCCTTGAGGTTCGAACACTAGGGTGCGCGCGGAGCTTTCGTCTCCTACCTACCTGCACCCCTCCGCCTTGCTAGGATCTAAACTAAGGAATGAACAGCACAAGAGACACAGGGTTTATACTGGTTCGGGCCACCGTTGTGGTGTAATACCCTACTCCAGTGTGTGGTGTGGTAGATTGCCTCTTGGGCTGATGATGATGAACAATACAAGGAAGAACAGCCTCGCGAGGGTCTGTTCTTAGCTGGAGCGATGAACTGCTGGGAGGAGCTCAGTCACCCTTCTCTCTCTCTCTATCTGATCTAAACCCCTCTCTCAAGAGCCTCCTTCTCCGAACCCCTCAGCTCTCTGTCTCTGTGTGTCCATGGGCGTGTGTGTGTGTGTGTGTGTGTCTGTGTGTCTGTCTGTGTCCGTGTCCCCCTCTTGTGGGTGGCTGATCCTATTTATAGAGGCCCTGATCCTCTTCCCAAATATCGAGCGGGAAGGGAGCCAACAATGGCGGGCTAATTTGAAGGGGGACAACTAGTATCAACTATCCTGACAAAAGTAGTCTTCGCCTGCGCAAAGCTCTGGTGATGACGCCGTCTTGGGCTCCACGGTGACCTCCATCTCGTAGTCCTCCTAGTCTTGGTCTCGTTGCACCGAAATGGCAACCTTTGCCTGATGCCTCGGTACTCCGCGGCTGCGCTTGCCTCCTTTGCACCAAAGAGGAAAGGAGGACACTGCGCGGGCTGGCACCCGCCTGGCGCCCTCGGTTGTCATGGCTTGCGTCACGGGCACCTTGTGAGGTACCCCGCCTTGATCTCTCCGCCTCTTCGTGAGCCAGCCCGACGAGGCCGTGCCTGAGGAAGCTCCGCGTCGTCCGCCCCGCGAGGCTTGGCCCCTCACGAGGGTCTTGGGTTTGTGTTGGTGAAGATGGGCCGCGCTGGGCCCCCCTTTGAGCCACGCCGCAGGCCGTAGGCAGGCAGGTCTGGGGACCCCCGTTCCCAGAACGCCAACAGTAGCCCCCGGGCCCAAGGCGCGCCCGAACTTGGCCGTGCAGGAAGGCGGAAGGGCAAGAGCGAAGCACCGCGGGCCCTAACAGCCTGCGGCCTTGGGCGCCGCATGGCGGCTGATTGGACGTGGGCGGCACTGTTCCCCCACGCCCTCCTTATTTTGCGCCATGCTAGGCGGACCCGTAGTTGTACACAGCCGTTCCCCTTTTTGGTTGCTCGAGCGCCCTCCGTCCTTCCTCCGCTCGAACTCTGGTTTCTGTTCTCAACTCAATCTTGAACCTTCCCCCCCCTTCCCATCGCCATGGCTCCGACGAAGAAGGGAAGAGGGAAGAAACCCGTGTCTCCGCCTTGCCCGCCGCCGTTGGTGGCCCCCGCCGAGGGTTTGGGCAAGGTCAGCTTGGCCCTGGCCACCATCTTCAATGAATGCGGGAGGACGACGGCCTGGCCCGCGTCCCACTTCTCCATCGACAGGATAGCCACAGAGGTCCCGTACTTTGCCGACGCCCTGTGGGCGGGTCTGGTTCCTCCCTTTTCCGATTTCTTCAATGCCGTGCTTTCCTACTATCAGATCCACATGATGCATCTGGGTCCTGAATCCATCACCCTCCTTTTGGTCTTCGCCTTTGTTTGCGAGGCCATGATGGGCATCCTTCCTTCGGTCGCCTTGCTGCGCCACTTCTTCTCGCTGCGCCTTGTTGACCCTACCCAATGCTGGGCATGTGTGAGCTTCGTTGCCGCGCCTGAGACGGCGGCCTCTGGGATTGACTTCAAGCTCCCTCCGCCCGCAGCTGGGTTCCGCGAGCGGTGGTTGTATGTGGATGCTGGGGTGCCCAGCCCCCTGCTGTCAGAGCCAACTTTGCCTGCTGTCCCCAATTCGGGCTGGGGCCAGGAGACGCTTGAGAGCCCCCGGCTCGTCTTCGTCTGGCACCGCTTCGCGTTCTTGAGGTCGCTTGGCGCGACAGCGCCCAAGGTGGTGAAGGAGTTCCTGCTACGCCGCGTTGCTCCTCTCCAGCGCCACTCCCGCCGGATGTGGGCCTTCAGCGGGCG